ATGCACATCAGCAACTAAGGTGAAAAGAAGAGGTGAGAGAGGGTCCCCCTTGCCTGATACCCCTGCTAACTGAGAAGAAATCCTTCACCACTCCGTTCACCAGGATTAAATAGTGACAGGAACTAACACAACCTACGATCCAATTACACCACTTTTCACCAAAGCCATAGTTTCTTAAGACTTCACTAAGGAACTTCCAGTCCACCATGTTGTAAGCCTTTTCAACATCCAACTTACACACAAAGTCTTTCCTATTAGATCTCCGCAAATCCTCCACACTTTCATTGGCAATCAATATTTAGTCAATTATTTGTCTTCCTTGTACAAAGGCCCCTTGGGTTTGGCTGACTAAGGAGGGGGTAACTTCTTTAAGCCTCAGAGGTAGAACCTTAGCTAGGATTTTGTAAATGCTCGTCACCAAGCTAATTGGTCTGAAATCCTTCGAATGAATAGCATCATGTTTCTTAGGGACTAGGGCCAGAAATGTGGCATTGACACCCCTGCTCACTACTGCAAATTCCTTAAAAACCTCAACCAAATCATCCTGTAGTACTTCCCAACTATCTTGGTAAAATGCCATAGTAAATCCATCTGGTCCAGGTGCCTTAGATCTATCCATTAGGAACACTACCTTCTTGATTTTAGCTTCTTCAAAACTTCTTTCCAACCACCTCACTTTCTCTTCTCCCAAACATGGCCAATCCAACCCTTCCATAGGCAATCTTCCATTCAAAGGCCTTTTATAAATGGACTTAAAGTGGGTCACGAAGGTTTTGGCTATTTTGTCCTGATTTGTAATGACCTCCCCTTCTACCTCTAATTTGGCCACAAAGTTTTTCCACATTCTTCCACTTGCCAGATCATGGAAGAATCTAGTGTTTCCATCACCTTCCTTAGTCCACTGGTGTCTTGACTTTTGTCTCCAACAAATTTCCTCTCTAAGTAAGACAACCTCTAAGTCCTTTTTCAATTGACTTCTTATCTCCCTATCATGTGCATTCATTATCCTTTGAGCTTCCTTCTCATCCAATTCCTCAATCTGAGATATTAGACTCAATTTCTTTTCCTCAATTCTACCAAAATGGTCCATATTCCATTCCTTCAGCTTGGTTCTTAACCTTTGTAGCTTCTTATGAAATCTTATCCCCTTCCACTTTACCCCCCTTAGCTCTTCATTCCACCATTCCTTTACTTTTTCCCCAAAATCTGGATGCATTAACCACATGTTTTCAAATCTAAATGGTCTAGGCCCATTAACAAACAACTCCACACCTATCTTAATGGGGCAATGGTCAGAAGTGACCCTAGGCAAGGCTCTGGACACCAAGGTTCTCTAGTGACCTTCCCAGGCTAGGTTGAAAAGGAATCTGTCCAATTTTGAGCATAAGGGGTTTTCTTGAAAGTTAGACCAAGTGAACCTAACTTGCAAAAGAGGGATTTCCTTTATTTCGCACTCTTCTACAAAACCATTGAACTTCTTCATGCTTGTTGTAGCTGACTAAGAAGGGTTACTTGTTTCCTCAGAAAATCTTATGACATTAAAATCCCCTCCCAGGCACCAAGGACCATCCCATAAACCTTGTATTAGCAGACAACTCCTCCCATAGTTCATTTCTTTCTCTATAATTGTTAGGGCCATAAACATTAGTTAACACCCAAATGAATCCATCCTTACATTCTTAAATTTGATCGAGACCGAGAACCTACCTATTAGTTGTTCCACCGGTGCTACTACCTCATCCTTCCACACTGTGACAATTACCCCCTAATGCTCCTCATGACAGAGCTGAAGACCAGCTTACTTCCCTTGATCTCCAAAAACTTCTAACCCACCTTCCCTCCATTTCTGACAATTTTGTCTCTTGTAACATCACAATTTCAGATTTTTCCCTCTTCAGTAAGTCCTTTATAGCTCTCCTCTTTCTTACACTCCCCAACCCTCTCACATTCCAACTTATAATTTTCATAGATACACTTCAATCAATGGCCCCACTTGACCCCACTAAACTCTAGATCACCCTCAATGTCAGAGATTAATCTTTCCACTTCAGACTTTTTTTCTTTTTCTTTTTCTTTTTTTCCTCCACCTTCCCCTGAAATATTTCCTCTCCACCCTCTTCTTTACCTAATCCACCAGTTCGGTTTCTACCTTCAGGTTTTAGAAGTAGACCAGTCCCCTCACTATCTCCTTTTTCCAACTCCTCTTCCTGTTTACTACTCAAGTCCTCCCTCTAAGCACTATTTTCCTCACATCCTTCCCTTCTCCTAAGCTCCTCCAATTCTTCACAAATCAATTTCCAGAACCTTTCCACCTCCTCTTCCTGCTCCTTGCCTACTGCTGCTCCATTCTTTTGTTTAACCTTTTCAGATCCCCCCTACTTTCCTTTCCCCCATACCACCACTACCCCTTACAAAATGGGATGCTAGAGTATTTGCAATAGGCTCAGCACACATGTTAGTACCAAAAACCCAAGGGAAAATAATACCTGAAAGGCAGGGGCTGCCTGAGGAGTACAAAAGCTTTTTAGATGGGGATTAGAACAAGAGGACGCAGCTGCTATTCCCCTTGTCAGAGTTTGCTGAGAAGTGTGTATGGACAAGTAGTCTCCATCGGCTAGTCTATTTGCTAAAAACGTCTGTCCCTGTATTGTCCTTTCTGGGCTATCCTCGCAAATTTCCTTTGTAGTGTCCTGCTCCCCTTTGCTAACTTTTTGACAAAACTGAGAGGTTGGAACAACCCCCCTCAATAGAAGGAGAAATGGAGTGCGCAGCGTCAGACCCAGGCAGTCGATCCACACTCTCTCTAACTTCAGTCCCTTTATCTTCTTCCAGAAATAAGGTTTCTGTATTAAAGCTTTCCTCTTCCATGAACTTCACATTTTGATGCAAATCAACACTACCCAAACTGACTGTGTCATCAGAACCTGATATGTCACTTCCTCCTCAGACCAGTCGCCATCTGCTGAGGATTCAAGATCGCTGCGCCTAATAGACCTTGGGTTGCATCTATCAGGTGACAATGCTTTAGTTTCTGTGTTGCAATCCACTGGAGAGCCAGTCGAAGCTGAACCTGTGCCTGTTGCCTTCGATCGAGAAGTTGAGGAGGAAGATGATAGATGTTTCTTACCATCTATCAAAGCCATCCCCCTATCAGACATATGAGTTTTAAGTGACTCACGTGCCTCACCCTTTGAGCCCACCTTACCTTCAGTCACCCTTTGACTCAGGTGCCTCAAATGGTTTTATAATTTGAAAATTGCAATGCAACTTAGGGGGTGGCAAAGGGGTGGGTTGGGTTGGGCTGGATGAGGGTTGAATACCAACCCACTCATATTGACCAACTAACCCATTTCTCACCCATATTTATTGATGTCAGTGGGTCACAACCCACCCATATGACCCACTAAAAACATAAGTGATAAAAAAGTTCAAGAAAATATTTTTTAAATAAAAAATAAAAAATGAATACAAAAAACAGAATATAGAAAAACATATTTGTTTACATAAATTTTGAAAAAACAACAAAAATTAAAGAAATAAAAAAATACAGAAAAATGTATAAATTGCGGAAAAACATAAATTGTAAAAAAGCAACAGAAATTATAGAAAAACACTGAAATGTAAAACAATACGAAAAGATTATAAGAAAATACAAAAAATCAGAAAAGTTAAAATTTGAAATAAAAAAAAACAGAAATTGCATAAAACAGCAAAATAAGAAATTGTAAATAAATAAAAAATACAGGAAATGTAAAAATTTTTTAGGAAAAAAAAAACAAAATTTGCAACGAGTGAGAGGAGAGAGATGTAAAAGGTTTTATGAACTTTGTAGTTTATTTACTTTTTCTGTTACAAAAAAAAAAGAACAGAAATTGCATAAAACAGCAAAATAAGAAATTGCAAATAAATAAAAAATACAGGAAATGTAAAAATTATTGAGGAAAAAAACAAAATTTGCAACGAGTGAGGAGAGAGATGTTAAAGGTTTTATGAACTTTGTAGTTTATTTACTTTCTCTGTTACAAAGAAGACATTGTAGAAGGACAAAAACTCAGAAATCAAAACTGATTTCAAAATCTGATATTGACTCTCTCTCTCTCTCTCTCTGCCAAACTGCGAAAGCATAACGAATAGAGCAGTGGTGGATTTACCGGTTCCGTTAAGGGGGTGTTTGACAATATGGTTGGTTTTGTTTATGAAAACAAAAACAAAAACAACTGCACATGAAGAAAACAATATAATTTTGTTGATGTGATTGTTTTAGTTAAAAGCAAAACCAGCCATGCTGTTGAACACCATGTAAATCTTTGCATTCTAGGGTTTAGAAAGATAGAAAAAAGCTGATCCAAAGGAGATGCTTGACTGATGATTCTCACAAAACAAGGCAGGCTTACTACGGTGGAGATTCACCGGTTTCTTTGTGGTTTACAATGGCAGGCACAGAGAGAGAGAGAGAGAGAGGCCACCTGTTCCTGTTCTGCAGAAAGGGAGGAGAATGAAACAGAGATTTATTTCAAACCCTAACATAAACCCCTTTTCCTAATTTCCCTAACCGATCTTATGGCTACCCTTGACCCAACCCACCCTGATCCTAATAGGTCACTCAATCCATATTGATCCCTTATTCAAATGGGTGGGTGTGGGTGGGTTTTCAAGTGGATGGGTCAAATGGGTTGGGGTCAATATTGGTAGCCCTAAATGCAACCAGCAAGTTGGACACAGCCAGAGATACTGAGCACTATAAGATGAAAAAGTAAAATTACCAAGGGATACTAGATAAAAAGTAAAATTACCCTGAAATACTGAGATAAAAATGTAAAATTAAGAAATATAGTTTTTTTGTAATACATGTCTTCTTAAAATTTCAGCATATATGGTACTGGACTACTGAGCATTGCATTATGTCTTGAGAACTTCATTCAGATTGCACATGTAACTGCTACTTCCTTTGTGACCGCCACTTGTGAAGCTTCCAAATTTGACTTGTCCTTATGGTGCAGTTCATAGGATTTCTGGAGCCATACATGGAAGATGGCCATTCCAAGGGATGGAGGCATTAGAAGTTGCTTTCAGAGACATTGGTCCACTAACTTTTTTCTCTGTACAAATGTACCTGTTACTCAAACAAACATCATATGCCAAAGCAAATATTTTCTTTTAAAGAAGCTGAATTTAGATGGGAGAAAAAAATATTATTCAAACCCGATTTTCTATATTTTATTTAATATTTACCCCCATGTAAAAATATTGATGCATTTGGCGCTTAAAAGCTCAAAACATGTGTAAGGCAAAAGCATTATTTTTTCTTTTTTTTTTTTTATTGTCTAGGGAAATGGGCTACACAGTCCCCTGTTGTTCTTAATCCTAAGAAATGTAATCAACATGCGGCTTTACCAGTAAAGCCAGCTGGCATTTTTGGTTATATAATCTAAGTGCAAATTAACAACATTTATTTTTTGCAAAATGAACTTTCTGTTCCATTTAATATGATAGTCATGAATCATCCATGCATACCGTATGTTCCTTGCTATTTGCTAATGCCTCTTCAGCCTCTGCTAATGGTCCCTATAGTTCTGTGTCTGTGCTTCCATGATAGCGTAGGCTGTCATCATGGACATCTGAAGTTTTCTCCGATCAATAGGGAGTTGGAATCAACTATATGGCTCCGGCAAGAGGCCAACAGCTACTTGGCCAAGAATGAGTGAAAAGATCGGTTATATCGTCTCCCCTGAAATGACGCGTAGTAGGAGCTTATGAGCATGGGATTCAAAGCAAATGTATTTTCTTCGCATCACAGCCCAACGTCTCCTCATCGGAGAAATCTAAAAAAAAAAGACCAGACTCAAGAAAATTCACTCGATTTTTTAATATAATAGATCTATCATATTTATGATGTAGAGAATCAAGAGATGATTCTTCTATTGCCTTCAGTAATATGAATTATGAAATAGTCTTTTCCGTTTAAGCACGAATCAATTCCATTTGGAATGCTTCCAAAGACAGCTACCAATACAATCACTATGAATAGCTACAGAGAATTGGGGATTTATATAGCGGAAGCTTGAATACAGAAAAGATGAGAAATAATTATTTTAATCAGTGCACATGTATGGTAAACTGCAGTTGTCAGACCTTCTTTCACTTTTAAATGTCAGTCCGGATCAGGTAGTCACAACACTGCAAGCACTTTTATGAATACTTAGTAAGTTTTTTGACACTTGGCCTTTAAAATATCCCCCAGTCTTACAGCCTACCCTTGAAAAAGATTAAAAATCACTTTTGTCGGTTGTTAGAATATTTATCAAGTGCTCATTGAATGATTTGGTCCCTCTAAACGTCTATTGGCTGCAAGTTCAAGAGAATAGGAAAACTTATATAAGTCTATTCTCTATTCAACCTGTGGGTTGTACAATGGGGGATATATCCCATCATCACCACCCATTGTTCTTCCAAACCTGGTAGCAATGGGATCTGATTCCATGTCATTGCTACACAAGACCTTACCAATTTATTAATTTACCAGTCGGCATTATCAGTGCATTAATTAACCAGTCGGCATTATCTACATGGGATTCCTCAGTTTCGTATTTCTGGTATCATGTCTTTCCGATATCATAGTTGAACCCATTAAAATTTAGGTAGTTGAGTGAAACACACTTTGGCCCATAGTATAGGGTGCTACATGGGACTACATGGGATTTATCATATAAATTCTCATCCTCTAATCACAACTGTGAGGAATGTGGAGAGCCACCTCTCTTAATGCATGATCATTTCTATTGAAATTAATATAAAAGCAATAGGTGGAAATGTTATGTTCAAACTAGATACGGCCAAAGCCTATGATAGGATGAACTGGGATTTTATCTTCACTACTCTTCACAAGTTTGGATTCAACAATATTTGGATTGATTTAATTCGTATTTGCATGTGTAATTGCTGGTTTTCAGTCATGATTAACGGATTTCCCATTGGCTACTTTCACTCTAGAAGGGGTTTAAGGCAAGGTATCCTCTTTTTCCTAGCCTTTTTATTCTTGCAGAGGAGGTGCTGAGTAGAGGTTTGAATGAAATTTATAGAAATGGTTTTTGTTTTGTATTATGCCCTTCCCAAAGGTTGCTTGCCTATGTCCCACAGTCTTCTTAAAGATGATAATCTTTGCTAAGGGAGGAAAAAAGGGGCCTTATGAATCTCGTTTCTTTTTTCTTAGTGTATGAGAAAGCCTTTGGACAATTTGTAAGTAAAAAGAAATCATACTTTATAGTTCACACAAAGATGAATATTTCATCTATAAGTATCATAAAAAATGCCATTGGCTTTAAACAAAAATAGTTTCCTTTTCTACCTTGGAGCTCCCATTGGTTTTAGGAAGCTAAAAATCATTGATTTTGAGCCCATTGTTATGAGAATTATACAAAAAAAAAAAAAAAAATTGAGGGGTGGAAGGGTAAATTATTATTTTCTAGAGGATGCTTGGTTCTTATTAGACACGTCTTGCAATCTATATGAATTCATATTCTTAGTGTTGTTACTCCTCCCAAAGTTGTTATCAACGAGATTCTCTCTTTATTTGCCAATTTCTTTTGGGGATCTTCTGACTATGAAAATAGGTTGCACTGGGCTGGTTGGCAAAAAAATTGTAATCCTCTCAAAGAGGGGGGGTCTAGCCAATAGATCTCTCCATGACGTTGCAAAGGCTTTCACTCTCAAAGCTTGGTTCCATCTTATTGAAAGGAAAAGCATATGGTCTGGATTTATATCTTGTAAATATGTGAGGTCTACCCATTGTGCTTCTCTCTAGAGTACAAGAATGAGCTCAAAATTTTGGAAAATATGATTGAGATGAAAGAGATAGCATTACGCCATTGCCAATGGTTGATTGGAAAGGTGAGATTTCTTTTTGGTATGATCATTTGACAAGTTCAAGGCCTCTCATACATGAAATATAGAATGAGAATGTTCAAGACTTCTCTTTCGATCAAGTCTTACTTCAAGATGGCAATTGGTCTTTTGATTCAGTGACTTTGCCTCCTCAATTCATTATGGATTTGGTTAAAATGATTAAAGTCTCTATTAACGATGAAGATGATAAATTCATTTGGAATGTAAATCCAAATGGTGAATTCTCTCTCTCTCTCTTTCTTCAACTTGGAACCTTATTAGGTCTTCCTACAAAAATTTCTGTATTTATTTGGAGGTTTCTTTATGGTGCTATTTCTTTTGATGATGCCATTAAGAAAAGGGGTATATAGCTTGCTTCTAAATGTTGTTGTTGTGGTGATCATAGTGTTGAAAATTTTAATCGTGTTTTTGCTAATAGATCTCTAGCAAATATATTATGGAGCTATTATAGCAACCTCTTTCATGTCCTCATATTTCAATCTCAACATGTGGTGGACAGAATTTATGTGGTGGATAGACTTATTCATGGCCGGGTTCAGGCTTGGCTTTTGCCAAAATTTGAATGGATCCGGCTTGAAGCCCGAGCCCGATACAGTATATGTCAGGCCCGAATCCCGGCCCATGAGCAGGTCTAAGAGATTCTCAAGTTCATCATCTTTGATGCAACCGTAGAATTGAAAGTAAAGGTGCTCTAGCTTCAACTCTCATTAGGAAATTAATAGTTGGTTGGCATAATAGGGTTACTCTATTTTAGAAGTTCCTAACATCCCATCAAACAATTAAAAAGAACTATCATTTGATGGGTCTAGTGACATCCACCTATTAATCTTCCTTTTAAGTTAAATGTTGATGGGTTTGTGGAGGGAATCTAGGTGAAAGTGGAGGAGGTGGTGTTGTGAGAAATAATATTGGTATGTTCCATTTGGGCTTGCACAATTATTATGGTAATGGGTCCTTTATCGTTGCAAAATTTTTAGCTCTTTGTGTTGGCCTCAAGCTTTGTCTCAAGCAAGGAATAATGATGAATGATGTGGAAAATGATAATAAATGTCTTGTTGACATCCTTTTTAGAAAAAAACACCATACCGTGGAGTATCACTTATATTTTGTGCGAGATTAAAAGAATGAGGTCCATCATGCACATTAAATTCTCTTATGTTCGTAGAGAGGGGAATAGATGTGCTGATTTATTGGCCAATAGGGGCATTAATCAAAAAACTTTTTTCATCTATATATAGTTCCTCACAGAATGCTCCACATGACCTTGTGAAGCTTTTGAAGGAAGACTACCAAAGACTTCCAGTTTTATATAAAGGGTAGAGTGCTTTTGCTGAAATCGGGAAGTCATTTGACCTATTTTCTGAATTTACAACACTATTTCTAGATGAAGAAAGAGAGCAGAGTAATGAAGTTACAAGCTCTAACTCGACCCACTCTGATAGCAATTGATGCAGCTCAAATATGAAGAAAGATAATGAAAGAAATTTGCTCAAAGAAATAGAAAAGAGAAAAATAAAATTGAATGGAACTTCATTAATATAAGATGACTTACAATGAGGCAATAAGGTTGGGGATTCACTCACCCAAGAGAAGACTCTCTCAACTCTAAATTCTCAAAAGGAAATAATTCCATGCCTATAGTTTGAGATTATAGGACTTTATATATACAGAATAAAACTAATTATTGAAGCATTAAATGAAAAACCAATTGTTGGAGCATTAAATGAAAAAAAAAAAATGTTAGAGCATTGCATGAGAAGATAACTGTCGGAGATTTTAATGAAAAATTAACTGTTAGAAGTCTATTGACAATTAGCCATATGATTTTTTGTTTCTTGGACTATGATACAGGCGAAATATGAAGAAAGATAATGAAAGAAATTTACTCAAAAAAATAGAATGAAGGAATTGATTGGACTCAAAGTGTTAGCAAGAATTCAATGGATAGAACTTCCTTTGGTAAAAGTTGAAGAAGTGAAAATATTAATTTCAAACAGAGAACTATTTGGACTAATGAAAGACTACTATAAAGAACATTGATGAGGCATGAAATTCTAGCTCTATAGGTCTAAACCCATACTTTTATTTAAAAGTTCATCCCAACTGTTATAAACCAATGGTAGGTCAATTGGAATAAATTTGAACCCATCCTCTATAGGACAAGTGAGTTGAAACAAATTCTAGCTTTGTTTTAAACCAAGGACAGGTCAGTTGAAATTCTAGCTCTGTAGATTTGAACCCATCCTCTTATTTAAAAGTTTAGCCTAATTCTAGTGATTTTAGAATGTTTACTAACAATTCAATTGTTCAAATAAAAAAGTTTTGTTCAACTTTTGAAGATATTTTGAATAAGCTTAAAGCAATAAATTTGAGAGGGTATGATACATTATAAAGCTATTACTAATGATATTATTGACATGATATGGTATATTACACTTGTTATGTGAAACCAATCTTACCAGAAACGGTTTTGTGTGAGAGATGAACCTGTACACCCTTAACGTCATTAATAAGATATGTATTGATTATACCATATTCGATACCTA